AATTTATTCCCAGATAATACTGAAAATAATATATTTCCGGATGTTTACAATTGGAAGCAAGTCGTGGCTGGTTGTGAGCGCCATATTGACCTGTTGAAAAGGTAAGCTTCTTGAACTGGTGGTGCTGAGGGCAGGGTTAATGGCCTGTCTATTTTGAAAATAAAAATATAATAACTATTTTTTCTCTTCCTTAAATGAATGCATGTGACTTTTTTATGAGTTCTTATATTCAGTTTGTAGTTTTCGAAAAGATTTCTAATACTTGTTATTACTTTGATGTATGATATAAAACTTGCGGCTTCACACTGTATCTTTACATTTTATTATTGAATGTATAAGCAATTATGCGAATTTAATGTGACTGTTTTAAAACTATTGAAGCTTCACTTTGTACATTAATGATAAATCTGTAAACTATTGTATTGATTTATTATTAGTTAGATGGGTCATCCGTTGTTGCCAGGGTTTGTTTGTGACGAGATACACTTAACCAGAAGGGATGCTACCACATAACGTTTGTGTGTCCATGGCCAAAATTATGTGTACATGCAAAAAACAGGCATTCCGTTTGATAACAACTGTGGGCTCATGGGCTCCACTCTAATGTGGTGGTTGCTCAATCAATTTAGGCGTTCTTGATCATTTTGTTGGCTATTGGGGCCATTTATATAAGCATAGCAAAAAAACACCTGTTTTTGATGAGGGGGTTTCTCTTTTGGGGGGTAGGGGACCGACCACTGGGGCCATCTCCACGAAATTTAATTTTTTTTATAATAATAATAATAATAATAATAATAATAATAATAATAATAATAATAATAATAATAATAATAATAATAAACGGTTTATTAATAAAGTTGCAGCCGGTGGCTGAAAATATACCGACTTACATTTGATTTAGACATAATGATATAATATGCGTTGAATACATTTACAGGGCTGTACAGTACATAAATCAGGAGTTGTTTGTTATTTTAATAGATGGGATGGTGCTATTCTTATATCAATCGGTGCGGGCTCTTATGGGCTGAATTTTGTTGTAGTGGCGGACTGCCGGTGGCAGACTTACATTTGATTTAGACATAATGATATAATATGCGTTGAATACATTTATAGGGCTGTACAGTACATAAATCAGGAGTTGTTTATTATTTTAACAATAGATGGGATGGTGCTGTTCTTATATCTATCGGTGCGGGCTCTTATGGGCTGAATTTTGTTGTAGTGGCTGACTGCGTGAGGTGGGTGGGGGACTGCCGGTGGCAGGAGGTGGCGATGGCGAGGGTGGTGCAGTAGTCCACTGCCAAACCTTGCTAGTGCTTGGTGGTGGAAGTCACTGAGGGATGGCATTTCCAGGGTGGAGAGAGCGTTGACGTGTGTGTGTGTGTGTGTGTAAATAAGGGCCCATTAATGCTTTGTGTTTATAGCTATATGTCTTTACTTGTACCGTCGCGGTCAAAAGTATTCATTCACTTCACCACCTAACCTCTGAGTCAGGCCGGGTCGTTTCTGCACGGTAAGTCACGTGAAGTGGATAGGGGGAATTATCGACTTAGGGGAGGGCCTTTTGTTTGGGGGGAGGGTGGTATGCCATGCAAGTTGCTCATCAGCGAGGGAGGAGATTGAAGAAAGCAGGAAAATTCATGAAAGAAGGTAGGGAATGGTGTATGTATTTTTTTTGTTCACTATATTATCTTAGGTTTCCAAGCTTGAAAGATTAATAGATGAGGACTGTTATTTTTTTATTATTATAATATGCCGTCTGTGTCTTTATTTATAATTTTTCAGGTTGTTCAGTTTTTAAAGAAATGTACTTGTAATTTTATATTTATAATAATGTTGATTTGAGGAGAAACATTGAATTTGAGGGTAGAAATAACATTTATCTATAATATTTACTTACATAAGTCATACAGAATGTCAATAACCCATCATCCAGTGTCCTCCTCGCATGTCAATCGTGGTCTCCCCGGACTAAAATTAAGTCATTTATATGAATTAAGGGTTCCAAGATGATTTGTTAACATTTCACTTCAAAAAAAAAAAAGAAAAATCACTTTATTATATGAACTGTCAGCAAATCATAAAAAAAATAATCACCGGCCGGTTTCCCATGTTATCATACTCCTCCCAGCGGGTTAACTAACATCTCAGTGACCTCAACGTCCCTTGCAATTTCTGACATGTATGTAGCCAGCTGTGCGCAAACCGATAATATGCTCGACTCGCCAATCGACATTCCTTAGCGTCCATCCTGGGCGCATTAATTTTCAAAACTCTAATAAACTTTTTACAGGGTGGACCAGTCACATTCTATCCAACAATTCTCTTTTAGTTTTCTTTATCAAATAATATATATATATTTTTTCAAGAATGGTAGTGGTAAGAGTTGGAAGTGATCAAATAACAAGTTGTTCTTAATTTTTTCTTCAATTAATATTGACTATTGTTTTGTCTTTCAAGAACGGTTGTGGCGTGAGGTGGAAGTGATCAAGTAACAGCCTCGTTTAGTGTTACTGGTGGTGAGCAAGTCACGCCTCCGCCTCTCTTATGTTGTCATATCGGGAAGCCAGATGCTTTATCAACCCTAATAACACATTACCTGCCAAATGCTCACTCGCATTCCTCCTCAGATAACTAAGGGGAAGTTGTCCACAAGACACCTCCCCGGACACCCGCCCTCCTGGTTGGTTGGTTGTTTGGGCTTTAGGCCTATCAACTGCCAAGGTCCTTAAGTCCTTCAACGTCAAGCTACAACCACAACCTTAACACCTTCTTCAGGTGTTAAGGACAATTCCAAGACCACTTACACTCTAACTACATATGTGGCCCTTGACTTGCGCCCTCTTACCTTACCCGGGTCTGCCACCCCCCGCCCATCAATACCTCCTCACCCTCTTGTAATCGTCGTGTAGAAGACCTTGGGCTCGCTCGCAGGTATGGTAGTAGGACGGTTAGATGGTGGTTGCTTTTGACCGCGACTGTATGTGTTTATGGCTGGAACTCAGCAGCCACCACCACCCCACTACACAAACAAACAAAAAGCAATGTGATTGAACAGGGACAGCCGATAAAGCCATGAGATGATTATTTCCCGTTGAGACCTTATGCCAGCAGCATCTGGTGTTCTTAGGGCCAGGCGGTCCCCCATCCACGTACTAACCAGACACAACGTTGCCTAACTTCGCTAATCGGACAAGAAGAGGGATGTAAGAATTACCTTCACAGATAGGAACAGTACCCATAATCTTACCTGTTGAAGTGCCATCAACCAAATGATCCAGTGATGGCAGGGTTGGGCTGAAGGTGGTGTTGCTGGCCTTATGTTGTGGTGGTCGAGTGTCAAGACGTAGTGAGACAGCTGACCGCGATGCCTCGTGCGTCTCTGTGGTTGTAATAGTGGTGGCTGTGGTGGTGATGGTTGTGGTGGTGATGGTTATGGTGCAGTTGGTAAAGTTACACATAATATGTGGCGGTGAAGGGTGGAGGCTGTTTGTGGTTGTAGTTATGGTTATCTTTCGGCTCAAGTGAACTCGGAGGAACAAACAATACATTTCATTGTATACTACAAATGAAAACAATAACAACAATTCAGGCACAGTTACATATACAAGTCCACGTACAGATATTTTACAGTGATAGCAATGCATACACATCATGCAAGGTAAATTTACAATATTAAGCCATATTTCAATGTATAGTACATATTTGTTTCTCAGTAACGTAAAGGTACGTGTTTGTTCCACAGTGAAATAATAATGCATGTTTGTTTTTCAGTTATGATACATGTTTGTTTCTCTCAGTAAAGGCGTATGTGTATTTAAATTAACTGTCCTGACTCCTGTTAATTTCACACAAACATCAGTAGGTATACTGTACTGTACCAGGAGAACTCACTGTTTCCTAAAGCTGAGGTAGATACTTATGCTGTGACCAGGTGAGCGAGACAATAATAATGATGGCAGGTCATTGAGGATGTTCATCTGTTCCCATTTACATAGTTTCTGGGGAGACAGTTTATTTTCACCCAATCCTGTAGGACAACGAGTATGTATTGAGAAATGTTCGTGTCAGGTTGTTTCAGAATGATCTTAGACGCAGAGTAAAGGGAAGTTGTCATCTTAACGTCTTCAAAAATAGTCTTGCTTTAAGCCTTTCAAAGGTTATTACTAAAGTTTATGTGGGAAATGTTGCTTAAAAACTCATATACATCTACAAAATGCTTGGTTGTGTTCTGTTTAGTGATTTATTAAGCTTAGCTGTATGCAATAGGGGGTAAACAAAATTTGCTGTGACATCAGTGTTTATGAGAGAAAAAACAAACAAGCGAACAAGCAAACACTATAGTCGTGTATTTGTTTACATATATTTATTTGTTTTTCAAACATTGATGCAAGGATAACTTTTTTATAACGGCAATGTTAATGAAACAAATACAGTAATATGGTCGTGTATTTTAATTAATTTGATATTTTTTATAATGAATATAAATGTTTTTATCATATCCTATATCGTATATAGTTAAACAGTATTAAGAAGAGTATGAAGAACAACTGAACAACTATATAATTTAACCTTAGCAATTAAAGAACTTTTAAAACAAAAACATAAAAGAAAATGACTATCGTTTTTTTTTTCAAAATGAATTGTATAGAGACGGGAGGAGAAGCGTCGTTGCCATACATAAGAGTACACACCAACTTGGTTGGAGTAATTGTATTTGTTATTTTTTAAATGTAATTAATTACAAGAAAATAGGAAATGTAATTGTAATTTAAAAAGTTATCAGTTAATTGTAATTATAATTGTAATTTAAATGATAATCATTTAATTGTAATTTAATTGTAATTGTGAACTCAGTCCAGTATTCAAATCAACCACCATCATGACCATGGTCATTTCAGTGACTGCCACCACGCAACAGCCAATTGCAGTACTGTGAACCTTTGGCTAGAGTCTTGCTGGACTCTGTGAAGAAAAGGTTGGACCCATACATAGAAATGAGAGAAGTTCGAGCAGCGGCTCTTCTTGATCCGAGGTTCAAACTGGACTGGCTGTCGTCACAGGAGCAGAAGGACCAGGTACTGATTGATATCAAGGAAAGGTTGGAAGAATCAGAGGCAGTTCAGGAGGGGTCAACGGAGGAAAAAATGACAAAGGTGATCTAGCATAAGGATTACCTGAATCAAAAAGACCCAGACTTTTCTCCTTCATACCACCGTCTTCAACTAGGCCACAAAATCAACGAGCATCAGAGGGAAGCACAGTGTTTCTGTTGGTGAAACAATATGTGGAAGAAGTAACTATCCCATGTTCAAGTAATCCAATGCTCTACTGAAGACCTGACAAGGGAGCTGATGGTGTGTACTGCAACATCTGCTCCATCCGAGCGAGTTTTCAGCATTGCTGGAAATTATTGCACAGCCAACAGGGCCCAACTTCGTGTCGCTTCTCTCCAGTCATTGTTAATAATAAAATGTAATGGTGAATTATTTGAAAAACTCAAAGCCTTGTAAATATTATGTGTAACTTGCAGTATACACGGACTGCACTGGAATCTTGATAGCCTATGTCTGCTTTTTTCACACTAGTTTTAAGTGAAACATATTCATCAATACGGTTTTAGCCCTTATTACTAGAAGCATGACGGTTTTCTTTTCAAAGGGTGAGCCATCATGTAGAAACTTGTAATTATAATTGAACTTTTGATTTTAAAATTGTAATTGCAATGTAATTGAACATTTGAAATGAAATTGTAATTGTGATTAAAAATTCAGGCAAGTATTTATATTTGTAATTGTAATTGACTTAAAAAGGTGTAGGTAGTAGGTAGCAGACAGTTATCAAACAGTGAGGTGCAACCGCCTGGGAAGATATTGGAAGCATAATGTGTTGTCGAAACGGTAGACCCTGCTGCCATATGGCATCACAAATATTGTGACCAAGCCCCAGGCTGCTGATATGACTTTCTGCCTCATTTACATAAGTGCAGGGTCTCAATTGTTTCTCTGACTTTGACAACACAACATACATACTGTACAGTATATCGTTTCTAACTCTTTTTTTATTTATTTTTTTAATTTTCGTATTTATTTATGGTTAACATTATTATTATTATTATTATTATTATTATTATTATTATTATTATTATTATTATTATTATTATTATTATTATTATTATTATTATTATTATTATTATTATTATTATTATTATTATTATTATTATTATTATTATTATTATTTGTATTATTATTATTATTATTGTTATTATTATTATATTTTCGCCCTCCAGTTTCTGATGTGGGTCAGTGACCTGTGCCCGGGTGGGCTAATCCCCGTCAAAAGAAAAGAAAAAAAAATGGGTCAACCCTGCTTACCAAGGATATATACGTGTACTTATTGACTGAGGCGTCGTCGTCCACGTTGTATCTGTGTTGCCCATAAACGCCGCTGTGTTGTACCTTAGTGTTTCCATCTTCAGTAGAACGAACAAAAGTTTTCGGCATTCTTACCGAAACTGTACAGTAAATTGACAATCTTTGAAACCTGTTAAAAAAGCTACTGAAATATACCTTTCTACGGGTGAAAAACATTGGTACTTGCATGAGGCTACAGGCCTTTGAAATATGAAGCCACAAAAAATACTAAATATTTTGAATACTATAGAAAAACAATTCAAGAAATTATAAAGATGGTGAAAGCAACGGGAGAAATAATTAAAATTTTCAAATGATAAAAATGAGATACTTTGGCCCTACAATTAGAGTAGAAATATTAATGAGTAAAGTTGAGGGTAAAAGAGGCAGGTGGAGGCAGAGGCTGTGATAGATGAGTGACAGTAAAGACTGGGTCCAGGAGAGATTGGTAAAGGCGTGTGGGGGTGGAGGGCCGTGGTCGCCAACCTTTATTAAATAACCGAGGTGATAACTGCATGGTCTCCGTTACTCCTCTACTTTATTAGTTACCAGCTTGTCATAACGTCGCCTCAGAAAAAGAATCTGAGTGTGAGTTTTGCTGTCATAAATCCCACACTTATCTCGTTTAATCTCACTCCATCTCGTTATCTACTCGACGGCGATTGACGGGGATTAACTCTGGCGATTTATTAACGGATTTGACTGATTCATTCACAGTTGATATTGGCGATGGTGGTGGTGGAGGGTTGGGGGTAGGAGATTGTTGTTGTTGTTGTTATGGTGATGGTGGTGGTACAAGGGGGTGGTGGTGGAGGGTTTGGGTAGGGGATTGTGGTTATGGTGGTGGAGGGTTGGGGGTGATGAAGGAAGGGGTGAAGGGATAGTGATGATGGTGAATGGAAATTGGGGATGGTGAAGGGAAAGTGGTAATGGTGAAGGAAAATTGGGGATAGTGAAGAGAAAGTGGGATTGGTGAAGGGAAAGTGGGAATGGTGAATGGAAAGTAGGGATGGTGAAGGGAAAGTAATGGTGGTGAGGGGAAAGTGATGGTGAAGGGTAAGTGATGATGGTGAAGGGAAAGTAATGGTGGTAAGGGGAAAGTGGTGATGGTGAAGGAAAAATGATGATGATAAAGGGAAAGTAATTGTGGTGAAGGGAAAGTGATGACGGTGAAGGGAAAGTAGTGATGGTGAAGGGAAACTAGCGATGGTGAAGGGGAAGTAGTGGTGGTGGTGAAGGGAAAGTGATGGTAGTGAAGAGAAAGTAATGGTGCTTGAAGAGAAAGTAATGGTGCTTGAAGGGAAATTAGTGGTGGTGAAGGGAAAGTAGTGGTGATAAAGGGAAAGCAGTGGTCGTGAAGGGAAATAGTGATGGTGAAGGGAAGAATTATGAAGGGAAAGTAGTGATGGTGAAGGGAAAGTAGTGGTGGTGAAGGGAAACTAGCGATGGTGAAGGGAAAAATTATGAAGGGAAAGTAGTGGTGGTGAAGTGAAAGTAGTGATGGTGAAGGAAAAGCAGTGGTCGTGAAGGGGAATAGTGATGGTGAAGGGAAAAATTATGAAGGGAAAGTAGTGGTGGTGAAGTGAAAGTAGTGATGGTGAAGGGAAAGTAGTGGTGGTGAAGGGAAAGTAATGGTGGTGAAGAGAAGTAGTCTCTTTAACTTCAGTAGCAGTTTCTGCAGTGTGATCTTCCTCTGCAGATCCTTAACTCCTTGAAGACGACGTAATCAAAGGGCTAAGACAGCGTACTTAAAAGAGGTTAAAATTTGCATCTGTCGTTCTTAATTATAACCGAGCATCATCCACCAGCAGCATGACCGATATCCACATGTCAATATGGTCAGAGTCCCAAACTTTCGGTTGGCGGATTATCAGGGGTTAAGAAGGTACCTAGGTGAGGTCACCTGGGAACAGTTACGTCAGTTCCCAGTAGGAAGGGGTGAGGTCATAGATGACACAACAATTGATCATGACTATAATATATTCACTAGTATACTACATAAAGCACAAGAACAAAATATACCACACAGAAAAATTAGGTCAAATAAGAATGAGCCAAGGTGGATGACCAGAAAACTTAAACATGACATAGGAATAAATAAAGGAATATATAAGAAATTAAAGGGGGGGGAGGAGCAGCTCAGAAACAGGTATAATGAACTATCTAGGACTGTTAAGAAAAATGTAAGGAAAGCAAAGAGAGACTATGAAATCAAAATAGCAAGAGAATCCAAGGCGAATCCCAAGGGATTTTTCCAGGTATATAGGACAAAGGTCAAGGACAAACTTGGGCCTTTAAAGTCAGGGAGGGGAGAATTGATAAATGGCAGTGAAGAAATAAGCAAAGCATTGAACAGCTACTTCTTATCAGTTTTCACAGAAGTAATTTGCGATGAAATTCCGGAGGTGGAACTGATATTTAAGGGAAAGGAAGAAGAGAAATTAAAGAATATCACTATCAGAAAAGAGGATGTTCTTAAGAAGATAAATAAACTAAAGAACACAAAATCCCCAGGGCCGGATGAAACTTTTCCTCGAGTCTTAAAAGAGTGTAGGGAACAGATTAGCGGACCCCTCGTAAACTTATTTACAAAATCATTAGACACTGGAGTTGTGCCAGAGTTGTGGAAACAGGCGAATGTAGTACCCATATTCAAAAAGGGAGACAGAGCATCAGCGTCAAATTACCGGCTGATCAGTTTGACGTCAGTAGTGGGGAAATTTCTTGAATCAATTATAGCAGATAGCATCCGATCGCATCTAGAGAAAAGCAAATTAATCTACGACTCTCAACATGGGTTTACAAAGGGAAAATCTTGTCTAACAAATCTGCTAACGTTTTTTAGGAAAGTCTTCGAGGTAGTAGATAATGACGAAAATTATGATGTTATTTACTCAGACTTTAGCAAAGCATTTGACAGAGTACCGCATCAGAGGCTTCTGAGAAAAATTAAGGCTCATGGTATCGAGGGGAAAGTTTTAAATTAGATAAAATCATGGCTCACCTATAGAACGCAGAGGGTCAGCGTAAATGGTGTTAAATCTGAGTGGTGCCGTGTAACCAGTGGGGTTCCCCAGGGGTCAGTACCAGGCCCACTCTTGTTCATAATCTACATAAACGATTTAGATACTGGGATCAGCAGTGACATAAGCAAGTTTGCGGATGACACCAAAATAGGGCGGCAAATTAATTCAGGGCAGGATGCAAATGCATTACAGGAGGATCTAAATAAACTGCAGGGGTGGTCTGAAAAATGGCAAATGAAATTCAACACCAGCAAGTGCAGCGTACTTAATATTGGAAGAACAAATACTTATAATGTATACAGCCTTAACAACATCAACCTAGAGAAGTCGACTTGTGAAAGAGACCTAGGGGTACTTGTAAGCCCGGACCTACGGCCTAGAAAACAGTGCGTTAATGTTCGAAATAAGGCAAACAGAGTATTAGGTTTTATATTTAGAAGTGTAAGTAACGAGAGTGCAGAGGTCTTATTGCAACTATATCTTGCTCTAGTCAGGCCGCACCTCGATTATGCGGTTCAGTTCTGGTGCCCCTATTATAGAATGGATATAAATTCACTAGAGTCGGTGCAGCGAAGAATGACAAAAATGATTCCGGGACTTATAAACCTTCCATATCAGGATAGGTTAAAGAAACTTAAC